AGCACCAGCGGCACCAGCACCAGCAGCACCAGCACCAGCACCAGTAGCACCAGCACCAGCAGCACCAGCAGCACCAGCACCAGCAGCACCAACACCAGCACCAGCACCAGCACCAGCAGCACCAGCACCAGCAGCACCAGCACCAGCACCAGCACCAGCACCATCAGCAGCAGCACCAGCACCACCACCAGCAACAGCAGCAGCAGCAGCAACAACAACAACAACAACAAGATCAAGAACAAGAAGAATAAGAATAAGACAGGAATAAGGACCACACAGGAACGAAAAGAAGAAGAACACCGCCGTCGCCACCGCCGCCGCCCCCCCCTACCGCCGCCGCCGCCAACAGCAGCAGCAGCAGCAGCAAAAAAAAGATGCCAAGCAGTGGCTGGGAGCATGTCGTAGCGGTTTGGTGACACCAGTAAGTGAGTACAGTAGTTGAGGAATCACACTAGCTGGCTAAAAGTTCGTAACAGTTTAGAAGTCTGGCACGAAGATGCAGTCGAAACCCTCAATATAAATTTTAGTGCAGTTTTCTTCGTTAAATCCAGTATACAATGCTTTTCAAACAATAGAAACCTAGTAAATACAGGTCATGCCTGATTCTAAGTCAATTGCCTTTAACCTTTTTGCACACATTCCTTCTTCAACGTCTTTCTACAAACCAAGGAACCTGAGGAACCAGGGCACGCCTTAATTGAAATCAAATCTATTATGTGAAATTTTTCTCAAAAAACGAACAGTCAAGGACGTAAAGGAAATCCCTAATTCTCAGGGTTGCTGAACCCCGGATCAGTTAGATTTCTAGGAACTGCAACGTGCAGTCGGTTCCGTCGGTTCGGTTCTTGTGATGGCCGAACTGGTTTCCGGTTGAAAGAGCGGAGTGTTTCAGATTAGGGCAGCAAAATGCAGTTTGCAGTTGGATGTTTTCAGTCCCTGGGCTGCTCTTCAAGCCCTATTGTGGGAAGCTTTGGAACCGCATTTGGATGTGACGCTCTCGGGCTGCTTTTGGTGTGCGAGGGGGATGTACCCGGCATGAACATGCGTGAGATCAATCTGTCTTTTGGTGCCCCCGCCTGTGTTTGGCTATTTCAAAGTCGGGTTCTTGCCTTTTTTTGCCGGGGATTTTGAACACACATCTGCCCGCGTGATAATTTTGGGATGCTTTGGAGTGCTTTGTGTATTTGCCACGAACAGGCGCGAGCCAAACGTCTCTTGCGTGGCCTTTCGCATGCATTCGGCGAATTATTTGAGATCCGGGCTCTGGTTATGAAAAACAATGGATCCAGAAGTTATTGAATCTTGAATCATGATTTAAAAGTTCTCCTTAGCTACCTTGCTCAATATGCCCTGGGGCAATTATAAATCAGGATTTAAAATGTCATCCGAATCCTGATTTGATTGTTCTGCTATCCAGGAGGTAGCCAGAGGCCTCTAGCCACAATTAGATCATTTTTTAGTTGGGCGGATCCTCCGTACCCAATGATCTATATGGAATGTTTCTAGGGTCCCAGAGGCCCTAGCCGCAATCAAATCCCGATTCAATAGGTGATCGGAGGTGCGCTCATATAGGATGATCCCAGAGTCCTAAAGGCCTTAGCCACCCTCATTCATAGGATATTTCAGAGGCCCAGCCACAGTTAAATCACGTTTTAGCGGTGCGCTCATAGAACGGATCTAATCCGTACCCTACGATCGACACACACATATGTATATATATATATGTATATATATATATATTTGCATATGTACGTATAGGGTATTCCTATAACCCAGAGTCCCAGAGGCCCGTAACCACAACTAAATCGTCGCGCGGATTTTATCCGTACCCATGTATATATATATATATGTGTGTGTGTGTGGCATATGTATATATTGGGTATTCCTACAGCATTTCAGCCCGCAATTAAATCACAATTCAGTTGTTGGGACTCTTGCCTTACTCTTTGGCACAAGTAAATCATGATTTAATTGTGCCCGTGCGGCACATGAGGAAGGCGCTGCACGACGTACTACTGGACGTAAGTCAGGATTTACTTGTTTTGGATGTATGGCGTTGCCAAGGTGCCGGACCAGGGCAAT